ACTATGAAACAAATACACAAAGTTTCCTTATCTAACCAAAAATTAATTTTTTTTTTAAATCCATCTACTTTATTAAATAAATGAAATGATTTTTCGCAGTTCCTTATAAACTTAAGAGTAAATTGTTAATGCATGAAAATATATCACTTAAATATACTAGTTTTGCAACTCATTCTATATTAGACAAGTGAATTCTTAAAGGACTTTTTTTTTTCTACTAAAAATATTTTCTACTTCTGTCCTTAATTCAAAAAGCCTGGTTAAAATCTTACTTCAGGAGAGCCATCTAACTTCTGTATGCAACAATAATTGTTCACATTCTGCACCAACCTCCCTATAAAATATTGTAAATAATATACTGTTTAAACTGCTACTTTTTATAAAATTAATAATTTTTATAAATTCCGCTAAAATTTCATTTAATTCTGTGGATAAACTTTTCGCTACTAAATGTTGTCTGTGGGTACATCAGTGGGGAATCAGTAAATCAGAATTAACTACTTGCCGAATCTTTTAGTAACACCACAATGTCTGCCAACCTATACTAGCTGCCCCATCAGTACATACACCTATGCAGTTTTTCCATTCTAAAGAGTGTTTAATAAAATAAGAATTAAGTGCATAAAAAATCTCATCACTTGTTGTGTATGAATTCAATTTTACTCAACACAAAAATTCTACTTTTATTTCTTCCAAAATTAAATCAATATATCTGATATAGCAAATTAATATGTACTTTTGAGAAATATCACATGATTCATCAATTTGTATTGCAAACGATGTTCCCTCTAAGCTGCGTGGCCGCGCACTGCTCAAATTGTTGCCGCGCACAAGAATTTATGTGCCGCGCAGGCGAGCATGCACACTGATTTGAATTGTTGTTTACTTATTTCTCACTCTGTCTGCAACATGATTATTGCTACGTATATTTCAATTAAATACTTTAAATCATTGACAAGGGATAATATTTTGTATAAAAGTATATTTTAAAATTAATTTTAATCTTTACTTTATAATTAATTATTTCAATTTTTATAGAAAAAAGTAAGATTTTTTATATATATACTAGCTTACCCGTCGCGCATTGCTGCGATCTCAGAAGAAAGGAAATTCAAGCAAACTCGTTATGATAAAATTCAATTTACATTTCATCATTTTTATTGAAACTTATTATTATTATTCATTTTCATCGGGTAAACATTTCAAAGTGTCGTTTCAATTCTATTTATTTATTGGAGTGCTTGTGGATACACGATATTTTTTGTTTTTTCGTCTGGTGCGTACACGAATAAATCAAAAGGTTTTCCGACGCGTGAGTTGGCCACATACAGTTGTCCAAGCGAGAAGCACGGATTCTTTAAATTTAGCCCACATACTCGCAGAGATTGTTAGAAGTGCGATATTCCCCATTTTTATATATATTTTTTAATCCTTTATAATTTTGATTATTTAATTGCTCCTTCCTCTCTTCCTTGGCATGTTGTGAAATTTCTGATAGTTGGATAATAAACCGTTTTATTGTAATTTGTCTTTTTAAATTATTTTGAGTCGATATTAAAATTTGGAAAAGGGGGATACCTAGATCGGTAAAATAGGCGAATTTCCTCCTACAACTTCGGTTGTTGTTCGGGATACAGTTAAGGTTTTAACAAAGTTCGAGCGAATACATAATTAGCAAAAAAAAGTTGAAATAAAGTGATTAAACAAAAATTATTACAAATATCGTAAATAACAGTTCACAAATGCATATATAGAGATATTTTTGAAGGGGGGAAATGGTCTTCACAATTTGAAATCGACCGAACACACTGTGCGCGAATGCTCGTGTAAACGCGCGCCATCTATCGTAGGATAAGTGTACTTCGCGGGAGTGTATTAAAAAATTAAAAAAAACTTCCCAAAGTTTCACGGCAATCGGATAAACGGTGTGGTAATGCATGAAGGACACACACACACACACATACATTCATTTTTATATATATAGATGATCAGAAAAATTTTTTGCTCAGAATCTGCTCAGCAAAAATTTCTTTTGCTCAGAAAAGTATGTGTTCCGCTCATTGACAAAAAAAAATTAGAGGGAACATTGATTGCAAAAAAATTTGATTCCTTTATCCTGTGTAGTAACTGATGTTCTACATTCTCTGATAATTTTTCAATTCTTCTTCTTATACTATCATTAGATAAGGGAATAGATTTAATTTTATCAGCAGCTGGAATCCAAACATCTCCGAACAAACGTGTATTAAAACTGGTTTTATCAAATTTTTCCCAGTGGTAAATGATTTTTTGGCTTTAGCAATTCAAAGTGCAACTAGCTATGAGAATTATATTAATGACTTTTTCTGAACAAAGTTTTGTTTAAATGTTTTTGTCTGTAATACTAATTCTTGTTTTTTACTCTCAAAATATTCATACAGTTTATTTTCTAGCTTGGAATGCTTAGACTTCAAATGTAACATTTTTGATGGTTTCATAGCATCATTTACTAAAACTTCATGGCAAATGATACACATCAGACATACATCTTCTTCTGTAGATTTGGGCCAAAGAATAAAACCATATTTTAAATATTCATTGTTGTAGTGCCTGATAAAATGTTTTTTTTTTTTTTCTGGTGGGCACCCAAGTTCTGTTTCACTGTCATTTTTCTGAGACTTTGAACTGGTATTCAAAAAATGAGAGAGCATGCCTTGTTTATGGTTCATGTTATTAAGGGCTAAAAAATTTTTTTTATTAGTGCCTATAAAAGTATTAAAAATTATGAATAAACTTACTTTTATATTTGCCAAATCCAGTTAAACATATTGTAACAAACGTCTAGTAATAAATGACATTACACCAATTCAAGATATAAACAAGTTTTCTTGAACATTCCCAAATGTTATAATCACAAGAATTTGTCTTCACTGCCATGCTAAACATGAATTATGTAAATTTAAAATTCGTATAAAGTATCTTTTTTCATAATTTAATAAATGAAAATTTTATTATCATCATTATTTTTTGAATAAGAAAATTTTTTAACACAGAGTGATAAAAATTCTCCACGGACTGATGCCAGTCGAGAAACGCGTCTCTATATAAATAATTCAGTTTAATTATTAATTGTATAAGTTTTTCTTTAATCAAACACAAATATAATTTACATATAGAGTAAACTTTGTTTTAAATAAAAATTTAAATCAATTTTAGTGTGCATAAATTATAAATGATTTATATATATAATGCATTTTATAATGACATGATCACATAAGTTTTTATAAATAAAGAAAAGATAAAGCTCAAATGAGGAACTTTTTAATTACAATATTCAATCATTAATTAAATATAACTACTCATTAAAAAACAAACAATAAAAATAGGGCTTAAAATAAAAGAACCCATATTATTCCAGAAACTTTATATTGCAAATGATTGCTTGTGATGCTTTTATCTACTATTACAACTTACACAAATTATTCCAATGATTAAACCAGCCATCCAGTGACATTTTATTTTGGAACTTAGAGATAACATGGACTAAGGAAAATCTTTAAATGAATTTGAAAAAGGCCAGATTACAACTTCAAAAGATTATGGCAAATCAATGAGATTAATAGCTAAAATATTATGTCACTCTCATAGTACAGTCGTACTTTCCTTCAATTGAGTAATGACTATAGAAAAAGTATCAATAAATCACCAAGTCAAAGAGAAAAGTTTTCTAATTGGCAGAAAAATGTTTTTGAAAAGACTAAGGAATAGAAGGTCTTTTGGACGAGTAGCAAAAGGTCCACTTAACATCTCTAAATCTATCTTGTTCAGAGATGCCAGAGGTGGAAGTGTAATGTATACAAAGTAAAAATTACAGCCACAAATGACAAAAAAACTGTAAGAAATATTCACTTAACTGGGCAAGTTATCACATATCCTGGAAAAAAAGAATATGAAAGAATGATATTTACTAATGAAAATATTGTAATTTAGACAGTTTAGACAGACAGTGTTATTACTGGCCTGATCTCAACAAAAATTCAAAGTTATTTTTGAAGAGTCATCAAGAGGGAAGATTTGTTTAGTATGGCTGGCTGCAGATATCATAGTAAAACAGATGTTTTCATATTAGAAAAAATAAAAGCTGAAGATTACCAAACACTTTTAGAGAACAATTTCTTGTTCTAAGAATATTGAATTGGCATTTTATCTTAGACTCCAAATGAAAATAATGCACCAGTTCATACAACAAATACAGTAGTTCTTGGGAATGGTTTTTGGATAAAAGAGTGCACATGATAGAATGGCCAGCTCTCACCTAGTCTAAATCCACTGAAGAACATATGGAGCATCTTGTAAGGCAGTATATGAAAATGGTAAACAATATAATAATATATTTGAATTGGAAGCTGCAATAATTTCTAAATGGGAAGATATTGATCCACAACTGTTTTCAAAGGCTATGTTGCACTTTAGCTGTGATAATAAATCTGGAGATATATCAGCTACTAAGTCTAGTGATCATATGATTTTGAAATACCATATTTCAGAGAAAACAGATTTACTTTTAATTAGTTGCTATATATATAGGGTGATTCAAATTCAGGATACATACTTTTAGGGGAGGCAGAGAACGTAAAAACAAACCATCTTCAAATAGGAATTTATGATGGAAAAGCCATCCTAATGTACTAGAGGGCCTTATATAAAGATTTGTTTTTCCATCATTTACTGTCTTGTCATTACTGCATCTTAATGTATCCTCTAGTACATTAGGATAGCTTTTCCAGTCATAAATTCCTATTTGAAGATGGTTTGTTTTTAAGTTCTCTGCCTTCCCTAAAAGTTTATTCATCAAGTTTTACACTGTATAACAATTAAAATGTTACTTTCCAAGGCTTAAGAGTTCATTTATTGTTTCACTGATTTATAGCAAAGTTACAGTAGTCTTTCTAGAAATACATGGGTGGTTTATAATTATGAAAACATAGTGTAATTATTTATTTATATTTTTTGATTTTTAGAATATAAGGAAGAGGAACTAGAAAATATGGCTTCTGAGAAGGATGGTATTGCCTGGTTGTATGAAGTCTTGCAAGAAGTACAGTTGGAACAGTTTTTCATTAAAATTAGAGATGAGCTTCAGATTTCCAGAATGAGCCATTTTGATTATGTTGAGCCAGCTGATTTGGAAGTCATTGGAATGGGTAAACCTGCTGCAAGAAGACTTCTTGATGCAGTGAAAAAACGGCGAGCTAATTTATGGAGAAAGAATTTATTAAATAAAGTAAACTCTTATTGATGAGTTTATTAAAAATAAAAAAAGTTGATAAATTTAATTTTTGAATTTTGGATTCTTAAATAGATTCTTCCTGCTTCTGGAAAATCAGAAAAATCTACATTGAAAACACCAACATCACCTACGTCATCAGTTCCTGTAACTTCTGGTGGTCTTACATGTCTCATAAATGAAAAGGACATATCCCTAGCTAATAAACTTGGTGATGGTTCATTTGGTGTTGTTATGAAAGGAGAATGGACAACTCCAGCAGGTCATTCTGTGAGTACTTTTATGAGATGTAGTTAAAAAATTTTTTATTTTAATAGAAAAAAGCTTTTTTATGTTTAATATGATGTTCTTGCATCGATCCCATATAGAAAATATTTTCTTTAATCAACCCTCTTAAAATTTTTATTTTCCAAGATTTTACTTAATATATCAAGTAAATTATTAAATAAGTTAAAGATTTTTTTCATGATAGATAATTTTTAAATAACAATAACAACAGAACTTCTTGAAAAAGTACAAGTATTTGATTTTTCTGTCGACCCCAATTGATCCTTTGAGTTTTGTTGACCCCTGGGAGTCCTTGTGATATTTTGATTAATAATTTTTTATGTATCTAGTTCAATAGACTATATCCTTTCCAAATTCTTTGATAATTTATGCTTCCTATTTACATATTAATGATTCAAAGCATAAACTTGAAGGAGAATATTAATGGGAAGTTCCATTTTAAGTTTACTCTATGAATTAGTAATATGTCAGTTGTAGGCATTAGTTGTCATAGAATTTGGCAAAAATACGATGAAAATTATGTTTTAGTTTAAATATTACTTCTAATAGTTGTCATTCATATAGTATAAATGTAAATGAATAATACAAATATTTGTAAAATTAAAAAATCGTTAAATATTACCTAATTAAGATATTAAAATATTTTAAGATGAAAAATTGAAATAATTCTCTGTAGAAAGAACTGATAAATTATGTTACAGTTTATCATATAATGTTTTCTGCTTAATAAAATATTTATCATCATCATTTATAAGATTTTAAATTGTGAATATTTTGAATATTCAACAGTAATTATTAGTTAAGTTCAATAAAACATTAAAAAAAACTTTTTAAAGAGAAAGTTCTTTAAAGTAATTTTGAGAAAAACTTAAATATTTATTAACTTTTGTATCAATGCTTAAATTAAGACATTTGATGGCTTTTGCAGTGTAATGAACTTTTTATAAGAAATTTGAGGATATGTAAGAAATTAGAGTTTTGGAATTGGGTAGAAATGCTTTTTTTTTTTTTTCTTAATGTAAGTTCATTAATAATTTATGTAGTAATACTGATCAAATCAATAAAATTTTGGCTTCTCATTGTGAAATTAAATCTTACATACTTAATATGTATTGTATACTGTAATTTTATTTTGACTTCAGTGTTATTATTTTGTAATATGTTTATCTTTGAAGGTAAATAAGTTAACCTTATTTGTAAATAAGTTAACCTTATTTCAGCATAAGTTCATCTTGCTTCAAAAACATTATCTCATTTACAATATGGACAAGTCTTATATAAATTACAGGCATACCTCGACTTACGTCGTTTCGAGTTACGTCGTTCCCAATTATATGTTGTTTGTCAAAAAAGCATATGGAAAAATAAAAATCAAGTTTAAGTCATTTTATTTGACTTTACGTCTGTCCGTCACAGATATTGAAGTCGTAATATCACTAGAAAAACGTTTAAAGCACATAAAATCATATTAAAATACGCCTAGTATGTCTAAATAAATAAAATATTAAAATACTGTATGTACAAGTATGTACTGTATTTACAGTACATGCATTCGTAAATTTAGATTACCTTTTTTCTGTACTATATTAAAAACAAATTTATTTGTTTGTAAGCTTAAAATAGATTTTTATTAACCATATATTATTAAAAATGCATTAATAAAGAAAATACAGAACCGGGAATGGTAATTTATGGTTTAGCCTACTGATAAGTAGATTCAGAGACAAGTAAATTTGACTTACGTCGTTCTCCTGGAACCAATTACCGACGTAAGGCGAGGTATACCTGTATAATTGAATTGGAATGGATATAATTTATTTTTTGTTAAATCTTCAAATTATTTTAATGATTAAAGCATAATTAAACCTGAATACTGTGTTTGATTAGCTATTTATGAAGTGTGATTTAATTAATTTACTACTATTGAACTGTAACTATTACTTAATGCAAAAAATAATGATTTACATGTATTGTTTGTCAGGTTAAAAAATTTTAAAACTTAAAAAGATGTTTTTAAAACTACTCTATAATCATATTACAATGCAAAATGTATGCCATTATGCCTTGCTTACTTGTGGTATACTGTCATTTTCTACATCTGAATATTACAGATGTTAATTGTGATTAGAAAATGCCTTAATAAAATGCTGAAGGAAAGTAATATAGAATACAAACAAACAAAAATAAATTATTTTTGATTAATCCGGATTTATATTTATCATTAGTATTTAACATTTTTTCTAATTGTTTACAAATTAAGAAATATATGAAAGTTGCCACTAATAATAATGAATAAAAAACAAAAACTGCTGAATTAAGGTTGCCAAAAATATTTACTGTATTATGTAATGTTTTCAATCTTACTTTAATATACCTATTCAATGTGCAAGCAAATAGAATGAAGCAAGTGTAGAATAACTAAATAGAATATTCATGAAATAGAAAAAAGTAGAAAAGATTATTTTAAATTCACAAAATAAAGATTTCTATTTTTTTAATTCTTTAATTTAATTTAATTTTTAATAAATAAATAAATAAATAAATATGATTCCTTAATTCATCATGGCATGAGAAATTAAAGTTATTTAAATAATGTTAAAATGTTTAAATTACTACTAGTTAATAAATAATTTGCAAATTGAAAATTATGAGTGTAAATAGAAANTAGTATATAAGAAGCTAAGTATATAAGTATAAAACCTAGTATATAAGAATCTAATAAGTAGGTACAATCACAATCTATAGTGCAATATCATGCTCATTAATAATATGTGTTTGTTTAAAATATACATTGTATGTATATTTGTCCTAGAAATGTAAGAAAATAATTGAATAAGTAAAGAAGTAATTCTGATTTGTCCCAAAGAATTATGACATTAGCATTCAAGGTTCACTTCAATAAAGATAAGGTCTGTGAGAAAATGTCTTGTAATAAATAATTTCAGTAACCTTATCAAACAGCATTTTGTTGCTTTCAGATTGTTAAAAAAAGTTATTTAGTTTCCTTATGCACATTGTAGTATCAGTTATTGAGAATACAGATTCTTTTGGTACCTTATGTCTAAAACTAAATTAGTATTGCTTGTTAGCTCTCAATCTTTTCTGTATGATACAATATTAGTATCACATTTAGGCAAACTTAATAGCAGAGTAAAATTATCTTTAATCTTCTGAATGAAATCAATAGCCATTTAATGAGTTTTCCTATTAATGCAAACATAGTAATCTTTTAAAATCATGAATTTTTAAGAAAAGAAAAAAAATTGAAATAGAGGAAATGTATGTGGATGAGATTTTTAGATAATTTATATAAAAGTCCAAGTTGATTCAATATATTCATTTTCACTTACATCCCTAATAATATGAAATTTATTGATAAGTGATAGACTAACATTTAACTTAATATCAGTAAAGATAAATAAAGCCACACCAAATTGTCTTATAAGATAGGGCTGTTTCCTGATGATTTTATACAGCAGTTGGCATGGCTTTATACTTATGTATCAGATTTTGAGAGATATTTATATATGTAAAAATAAATATTTTTTGAGAAACAAAAGGATAAATTTGATTGTGGTCAAACCTCAATCAACAGCCATTGACTGGAACATAAAAAATAGCCACATATCCCATAAATTGAAGGAAAACTAAATCTATTACTATTAACATTATAGAACATTTAAAAAAGTTTTGTGCAAAAGTCCTTTAACTTACAAATATTGCTTAAAAACATGCATAGATTGGATTGGTTTTTGTTGTAGGCTATGACTTATGAAAATTAGGAACAGTGATAATTTTAAAATTTCTTCAAATCCTACATAAATACCTAAAACATAGTTAGTCTTGGAGTTGAAATTTTAAAATTATCACTGTTGGCATTGAACATTGTTTCTTTTATATATATATATACATATATATATATTTTAACATGGGTCAGGCATATACAAAATACTATTTGAAAACTAGCAATTGAGAATAAAACAAGACTATATTGTGTCACAAAAAGGAAATTAGTCATTTGCCTCAAATAGCATAAATACATCATTGAAAAAGGACATTTTTACACTGTATTGTCCAGGATAGTACAATTAGAAGAAACTAGAGTCAAATGGAGTGAGGCTAATATATTTAGGCCACTAATTACATTTCTTACGTTGGCAATCAATGAGGAAAGAACTGAAATTAATAAAAGCAAATTAATTGATGGTTGCATTAATGTCAGAGATACAGAAGGACTATCTTTAGCATGGAAATTCAACATAAAAAAGAAATTACAATATGTAAACTCAGTTTGCATTCACTCTTTTATATAAAATATATATCTTTTATTTATTTATTTTTATGTTAATTACTGTCAGTATTATTATTTATTTAGTTAGTTTGTTACTTATTTATCTCTTATTCATTTTATTTTATGTTTCTCATATTTTGTATTTTAAATTTATGTTTAAATTATATGAATTTGAATGTTCTGTTATGAAATGTTCCATTTTTTAAAAAAAACATTTGAATATAGTATTACAGCTGATGATACCCTATAGAATTTAATGTTGAAAATGTTTGTGTTGATATAAATACTATTTTGATAAAATTTATAACTTATTTAATAACATATTTATCATTTAAATATATCGCTTTCATGTTAGAAGTTTTACTTCCTTTTCTTATTAATTTGTTTTTAAAATAAATGAGTATTTTTCTTGCATTTATATTTTTAAAAATTTTTGTTGTACGTACTTGTAAAATATCTATTGTTAATAATGTTTATAAATGAAATATTTGTATATTAACAATGTATTAAAATAATTTTATATATATTATCTTAATAAAAATTGGCATATTCAGAATAATTTCCATTTTATATATGACTTGAAATATTTAATATAAATTCTTATTTATAGATGCATGTGGCAGTTAAAGTGCTTAAACAGGATGCTGTTTCTCAACCAGGAGCATTTGAAGATTTTATTAAAGAAGTTAATGCAATGCATTCACTTGATCATCCTAATTTAATTAGATTATATGGAGTTGTACTTTCATCACCAATGATGATGGTAAAATTTTTAAATCAGTAATAACTTAACACTTCCTTAATTTGCTCTATAGTATTATAAAATATTAATGGATATTGCAATTTATTAGATTATTGACATTGGATATAGAAAAATATAGCATGAACAAAACTTTATATTTTCAAATGAAATTTTAAAATAACTATTTTTTATTTGAAAATATTGTACACAATATTTACTACATTAGACAAAACATAAAATATATTTTCTATAATTAATGTTTATAAATTTAAAATACAATTAAAAATAATTAATAGTTATCTATTGAAATCATGTTTACTATGTTAATCTTCCAAGTTCTTGTTTTTTGGTTTTATATTTATTTGAAATGGGATTGGCATATTCAGAATAATTTCCATTTTATATATGACAATCAAAAACAGATTTTACAATTCAAAAATATTTCTTACTTTTGGTTAATACTGATTAATACTGACAACTTTAGTCAACCTACTAATTTTAAACATTTTACTAGAGATATTTTTATTATTAATGGATGAATATTGATACTGTTCAAAAGAATGTTATTTTTAAACAATAAATTTAGGAAATATATTTCTTGATTGAATTTTAGAAAATAATCATTAAAATATGATATTAAAGTTTGATTTCAAAATGTTTTAAATTTAATTTTTCAGAATCCATACTGATATTTATATCTGTTAGTTTCTTATAGACTTATTTGATATAGTCTACATAAAATTCCATTCATAATATTTATATAAATGTTCATAAATTAAAGTAACAAATTACTACAGACTTATCTTCAGAGACTTCGTATTAATTATAATTCTTGATCTTGAATCAATAATTAAGGAATTTAATGTTGTATGCATATTCAAACTTCTTTTATTATATTTTTCATTTTCTTGAAAGTATTCTAAACCAATAAACAGACTGATTCTATATAGTGCCCTCTCTCAGATGCTTTCTTTTAATTAAAGCAGCTCTTCTTTTCTTTTTTTCTTCTTCTTTGCTTGCCTATTTCCAAGCTATTGGTTATGACCCCATTCCTAATGTTAATCACTTCTGAATCCATGAACTTTCTCCAAAAATCCATATTTTTTCTGCAGTCTCAATGTTCTTCCCTTCCTTCATTTCTTTACAATAAACTGACATTCCTCCAAATAACTTCTTTTCTTTAAGGCTGTCTCTGCCAATGTTTACATGCCTTTTTATATAGTCATCCGACTGCACCTTGAGTCTGGCATTTAGGGTCCTCCTGATTGCTCCAATGTAATATGTAGGGTTTCTCATTTCCCGGTCTTTTGCTTGTCCCGGGATCCCGGGATAAAAGTGAACTGTTTCCCGGGATCCCGGGAAATCCCGGGATAGAATTAATTATTTTTAAGGTATACAAAATATCTTGAAATCAAATGATATAATTATTTTCCATTTTTTAAAGTAATTTTAAAGTTCTGTAACCTCCAAAATCATATTAATAATGCTGTGTAAGGTCTATAGGCCTATAATAAAAATTACCTTTAAATAACGTAGAAATTTTCACAAATAGAAAAAAATTAATTAAAGTTTGCTGGAAACTGCATACAACAACAACAAAAAAAAATTTTTGAATTGAGTTAAAAATTAAAAAAAATGAACTTCTAATTTAGAAGGTAATTTTCGTTTTTTAAATAAAATATAATACAAAATATTGCAAACTTTTATAAGATTTTAAAAAGCAAAGATGGTCAATACTCCGATAACTCACTCTAATTCTTATTTTAGTAATGAAAAGTCTTGCCACCGAGAATGCCCTTTCCGATTCAATTGATGTGATTGGAATAGTGTTTAATGCATTTAAGAGAAGACAGATATTATGTGTTTTTTCACCTGTAGCCTGGAAGATTTCGAGTTCGTTTTCGAGATTGTAGTACTTCTTTCGCTCTCTAGTATTCTTGATTTGTCTACCTTGGCTGCTTTAATAGCGGCATCAAGCTTAGAGCTCGATAATTCGGCAATTCATTTGGCTTTAATAATCAGGTTTATGAAGAAAAACTTCATACTTGCAGACTTTGTACTCGTTTGTATCCTTGCCCAATTTGCACAATCTGGCGTCAGGCATTTATTGAAGCTACTGGGCATGGTTAAAACTCAAGACAGCGTAAGCACAATTATTCCAGATATTACAGGTTCCGACAAGTAAAGAATTTTTATAGTCCTGCCACAAATAAGCTATATATTGATTATTGACCATTTGTGACATGCTATAACGAGCAAAAATTTAAAAAAAATAATAGGTAGGTTTAAAATTAATAAATACAAATGTATTCTGACAGTGAATGAGTTAATTATGCTTTCTATTTGCAAAATTCCTCAACCTTAACACAAAATAAGAAAAAAAGTGAATTTTTAAGAAATTTGCGGGATTTCCCGGAATAAGAAAAATTTTCCGGGATATTTCCCGGGTTAAAAAAACAACCGGGATCCCGGGATCCCGTTTGAGAAACCCTAGTAATATGCTTGCTTTTGCATTTGTTCCTTTATCAGTATTATATACACTCTCAACTTAATTGCATATTTTTTTCATTTCAAATACAGTCAAATGGATAGAACTTTTTTCAAATATTATCTTTTCTTATTTCACTTTCTCTGTCTTGTAGAAACTTGAGCTCCATGAGTTCACATAATGTAAAAAGACTCTTTTCTCTGTTTGCTCTGTTTTTTTCTTTACTTAAAACTATCCTTTTGAAGTTCTTATCAGTGAATCCATGATCCTTGGTAGATTCTTAAAGAATTGTAATTCAGCTTCAAGAAACTCACATTTAGAGAACAACTGAAACACTTTTGTTATGAGAGTTTTGAAAGTTTCATTTTTATTTATATGGGTCCTGAGAGTCAAACAGAACATAAATTGGTTTGAAGACCTGTTTCCAGTATATTTTGCTTTCATATTGTTTGATTCCTTTTTTTAATCCACACAACGAAAACTACTTTATCATCATTCAATTCCAGTCTACTCATGTTCTATTCTTAATTTTAAACTTAAAGAGCTATTTGAAAAATTCCTTCAGGAGGATTCTACATCCACTGGTTTCCAATGACCAGTATGCCATCAACAAACTTTTTGTAAAACTTTATATTGCTCCCAAACTGTTTCAGTACCTCTTCCTCTACTTCTTTCATAGCCAGTTCTGACACTGTTAGTGCTATGAACAATTCCATTAGAACCCCTCTCTTTTGCTGTAAACTTTTCCATTGAATTTAAAATACAATTCAAAAATATGTGTAAAATATAAGGTATTTCTTTAGAATCAGTTTATAACTTTGAAAGTATCATTTAAGCATGAAGAATGTGAAACCAAAGAAAAGAATCCTTTACATTATGTGAACTCATAGAATTCAACACTTTGGAGAAAGTAATGAGAAAAAGAAAAAAAATATTTGAAAGAAATTCTATCCATTTGACTGCATTTGAAATGAAAAAAAAAAAAGATGCAATGAAGAAATTGAGAGTGTATATAATACCAATAGAGGAACAAATGCAAAAGCAAGCATATTATGTTGGAACAATGAGGAAGACCCTAAATGACAGACTGAAGGTGCATTTGGATGACTATTAAAAGGCAGAATGTTAGCAACCTTGGCAGTGACAGCCTTAGAGAAAAGAAGTTTATTTGGAGGAATATTGACTTATTGCAAGAAATGAAAGAAGGGGTGAACATTGGGACTGCAGAAAAATATGGATTTTTGGAGAAAGGATCATGGATTCAGAAGTGATTAACATTAGGAATGGGGTCATAACCAATAGCTTGAAAATGGACAGGTAAAGAAGAAAAGAAGAGCTACTTTAATTAAAAGAAAACATCTGAGAGAGGGCACTATATAGAATCAGTTTGTTTAGTGGTTTAGAATACTTTCAAGAAAATAAAAAATATAACAAAAAGGTTTGAATATGCATACAACATTGAATTTTTTGGTTATTGATTTTAATAACATCATGTATGATAACCCATAATCATAATCATGATTATAACCCAGGATATTTTCAATTAAAAATTGAATTATGACTACAAAAAATTTATAAAATTTTTGAATTTATCTTTCATCCTTTTAACACACCACAGAAGTATGTTATGTTAAAGGACACCAAATCCTCAAATAAAAGGTTGGCGTTTTGATCATTTTTAATTTTGTGTGTTTTCATTATAATTTATCACGTGTTCTAAGGAAGTTTATCCAAGCCAATATACTGTTACTTCTGTGGTGTGTTAAAAGGATGAAAGATAGACTCGAAAATTTTATAAAGTTTTTGTAAATAGTCATAATTCAATTTTTCATTGATTTTAAATCAAGAATTATAATTAGAGTGAAGCATATAAAGATAAGTATGATTGGCTCAAAAGTACTCAGTCATTAGAAGTGTAAGGTTTGGTCAGGTTGGTTTATGAGAAGTACTTTGTTAAATTAACTTATACAGTTTGTAAAGAGATTGACGTAAGATAAATATCTACTATATAAAACTGAAAAACTGGGCAGTCTCTATCATGGTATGCCAAAAATGGCAACTAGGGGCGCCTTTAGCTATTATTTAAATTAACAATATAAATTATTATTTTATATTGTTACAGTATAATTCAGTATATTATTATTTTTATCTATCTATTATATAAAACTGAAAAAATGACCAGTCTGTTGGCATATTGAGCGCCAGCAAAGCATAGTGGCAAACCTAGGAATTGCCAGAGTCCGTGCTCGACTCTTTTTGGTGGTATTTGGCATGCATGCTGCTTGCTATGTTATTTAAAAGGAATTGGATATAGTGATGTAGGTCATAGTGCATGATAATGATAGTTATACTTTTTTGTTTCATTATTATGTTTTGAACTGGAGACAGGATATTACAGTATTTCTTTGCAATCATAATGGAAATATGTAGTAGCTTATTGGTATTTTGAAAGTTATTTCATGAGAATTGGATGTAGGAATGTTGGTTTTAGTACATGACAATGATAGTTATGGGCAGTTCACTTTCATCAGTGTTCTGCAGAATGTCTCTGCACTTTAGGTAAACCATTTGTAATTAATTATTTATCATTGCTTTGCATGCTAACTATTTANTTAATAAACTTTCATGTAACTTTATGGTAAATAAAATTGCTTACAAAATTTTAAATTAAAATAATTCAAAGTATTCACAATTATTAAATTTATCATGAAATGGTGACTTAACCATATCTACCTTTAGCTAAAGTGCTTTGTATCTGATTGTTAATTAGCCTTAATATAGTCCGATAAATAATTTGGCAGATTGTTTGCTACTAATAATTGAAAGTTGTACTACTAATTAAAACCAGATGATTTGCCAAATTATCAGGCTGTAATAAGGCTAAGTTAATAGTTAGATACAAAGTAATTTGTATAGAAGTAGCAGTTAGGTTGCCATTTCATGCTAATTTTAATAATTATAATTAATAAATTTTAAACTGTAATATTTAAAATACTATAAATTACTGAAATAAAAATATTATAAATTAAATTGTGCTACTAGTAAACTGAAAGGATATTCTTTTATCAAATATTTTCATTTAGGTAATATATATTAATATTTTATAGGTGTGCACCAGAAAGCCTTAAATCTCGCCATTTTTCTCATGCAAGTGATACGTGGATGTTTGGAGTAACATTATGGGAGATGTTTACTTTTGGTGAAGAACCTTGGGTTGGTTACAATGGTGCTCAGGTTTGTTGAACAAAATTTGATTTTTCTGATTGTTCAGAAATCAAAGATGAAAATTTTATATTTGATTTAACAAAATATTAATATCCAATTGATAATAGTAGTATATATTTAAATATATTTATAAATATTTTCATTGATAATATAATTTAATATATCAATATGATGATGATTTAATTTATGCAGCTTTTTCAGTCAACATTGATATTAAATAAACTTAAAAAAAGTTATTTGACCATAATTTTATATTGTTACAGTATAATTCAGTATATTATTATTTTTATCTATCTATTATATAAAACTGAAAAAATGACCAGTCTGTTGGCATATTGAGCGCCAGCAAAGCATAGTGGCAAACCTAGGAATTGCCAGAGTCCGTGCTCGACTCTTTTTGGTGGTATTTGGCATGCATGCTGCTTGCTATGTTATTTAAAAGGAATTGGATATAGTGATGTAGGTCATAGTGCATGATAATGATAGTTATACTTTTTTGTTTCATTATTATGTTTTGAACTGGAGACAGGATATTACAGTATTTCTTTGCAATCATAATGGAAATATGTAGTAGCTTATTGGTATTTTGAAAGTTATTTCATGAGAATTGGATGTAGGAATGTTGGTTTTAGTACATGACAATGATAGTTATGGGCAGTTCACTTTCATCAGTGTTCTGCAGAATGTCTCTGCACTTTAGGTAAACCATTTGTAATTAATTATTTATCATTGCTTTGCATGCTAACTATTTAACTATTTAATTCATTATTATTAACCTTTAAACTGGTTAATAATAATGAATTAAAAATACTTTTTATAATTCCAATTTTATTGTTGTTATGTTAATATAATTTTTTGATGAAATTGTGTTATAGTTAATTTCATTTGATAGTAATTTTTTTAAATTTATGTGAAATTTGAGTTTTCTTAGTATTTATTGAAGATATAATTTGATATTGACATTTTTTCAAATACAAAATTGTTTCTTTTGCATTCATTTAATTTTAGTGATATACATAAATTGTAACTGACTTAATATAGATTGATATAGGTATATAATTTTCATTCTGTTATTGTTTTATAGTAAATTGTATGTCTTAAATTTAAAATTTTATAGTTCAGTAATAAATAAAAATTGTTTTTATTTTTAGATTACTGAATTAGCACCTTTAGGTTCTCTAAGAGATAGATTAAGAAAAGAATGTCATCACACTCCTCTCTCACAATTGGTGGAATATGCTGTACAAATAGCAAATGGAATGGCTTATTTAGAATCCAAACGATTTATTCATAGAGATTTAGCAGCTAGAAATGTATTACTTGCCACTTCTCAGAAGGTAATTTTATAGATCAGAAAATTACAGGATAAAATTTTCAATTTTTAAAAGTAATTTTCATTTGAATATTTTAGGTTAAAATAGGAGACTTTGGTTTAATGAGAGCTCTACCAAGTCAAGAAGATTGCTATATTATGACAGAGCATAAGAAGGTTCCTTTTCCTTGGTAAAACTTTAAATGCTCTCATATGTATATTTAATTTTATAATTGTATTAATTTATTTATGAAAATTTGTGTTTAATTGGTGATATAAAAATAAATAAATATACTGATTTCATATTTGGATTCAGTGACCCAAATATAGCTAAAATCAGTTCTAAAATCCTAGGCACCAAAACAAAAAAATTTTTTTGTAGGCTTGTGTTATTGACCATTTGTGACATGCTATAACGAGCAAAAATTTAAAAAAAACTAATAGGTAGGTTTAAAATTAATAAATACAAATGTATTCTGACAGTGAATGAGTTAATTANGATTTAAATTCATAGTAAATCCTTGAACATTTTTCATGGGCAGTTTGAATATATCAAACCCTATCCATCACTATATAACTACTACATTGCACATTTGGCAAAACAAAACAGTTTGCATGGAGTCACTGCCATGACTCTCAATTATTATTTTATAGATTTAAAAGCATAATTATATAATTTTCTTTTTAAAGATTCACAAAATAATTTCTTTATTTCAGATTTTACAAAAAATTGATCAGGAAGGAGAACGTCTTGCACCACCTGATGTTTGTCCTCCCGATATATATCAATTAATGCTTCAGTGTTGGGCACACAAGCCTTCAGATAGACCAACATTTTTGGCCTTAAAAGATTTCTTATGTGAGGTATTGTGATTAATAAATAATTGCTAATAATTTGAATTAATTGTTACATTTTTTAAAAATTAAATTTATTTAAAGAATTTGATTTTCAAATGCATTTATGAAGGAATTTTGTTTTTTCTAAACATTTTTATGAATAAATATTTAAATTCATATAGGCTCATCCGCAAGTATTAAAAGCTGTACAGAGATTTGAAGAAGCAGATAAACTTATCGTTGAAATTGGGGATATTTTAGAGGTTATTGATGGAAAGTAAGTATAAGTTTGTTGAAATTTGTTTAAAAATAAAATTGATAGATGAATTGAATTTGAATTTTTATTTATTAGGTCTGATCATTATTGGTGGAAAGGACAAAATCAAAGATCATTCAAAATTGGCCTTTTTCCTCGTTGTGTCACAGATTTGCAAAGAAGAATTAAGGGAGATGATATAAGTAAACCTTTAAGGAATAGTTTTATTCATACTGGTCATGGTGATGTTGGTGGAAAATCGTGGGGGAATCCTGCATATATTGATGAGTATGATATTTTTAAATCAGTAATAATGTATTTATTGCTTAGATTTGTCTATTTGAAAAAGTAAGTTTTTAATATCTGTAATAGAATGTATCTGCAAAATCCAATGGATCCTCCAGATATATTAGGACTTCCAGATGAAGTACAGAATGTGCCAAAATTAGCTGATAGAAATAAAAGTAAGAAATGTGAAATTATTAATTTCATATTAATTTGAATTAAATTATTAAATTTAAAAACTTATTTATAGGATTATCTATTGAAGTTACACCCAGAAAAAGCTCCTGCAAACAATTTGCTTATAACAAATTTGAAAATGATTCTAGTGATGATATTATTCTTCATAGAAGAAAATCTTCAAAAGATAGTCGTTCCTATAAAACAAAACAAAGTGGAAGTAATAGTAAAGATGTTTCTGAAGGAATTCTAATTGATTTTAGTGATGAAATTTCAGTTAAAACTTCTCCATTATTAAACCATGTATCTCTCACACAAAATACAGGTTCTCTTTTAGATCTGTCTTCAAATGGTTTAACAGTTTCTAATAATGTGTTTAGGTCATCTTCAAGTTCTTTTGACTCATTTACTTCAGAATGTTCATCTCCAAATCCCTCACAAAATTTCACGGGTGATCGCTATTATAATGTACCCCCAATTTCATCACAAGTATCAAATGACAGGTATTATTCTGTGGTTCCTCCTAGTGAAGCAGAATCTCATATGCATAACAGTGAACATTTTTATTCTAATGTGACAGAAACATCTTGTATTTCTACACCTTTCAATGGTGGATTATTAAAACAGAATGCAGCAAAAATGAAAAGTTGTCCTATGTTAAATACTCAGGTTGTGAGCGTTGATATCAATGGAATGGATTCAACTCCACAAATTTATTCAAACAATTCATCTGACTTTCTAAAAAGGCGAGAAGAAGCTTTTGATTGGCTAAACACTCAGATACCAGAATTGACAAATCATCCAGATCCTAATACTAGCAGTAATAGATCTCAACTGATAGCAGAATTAGAAAAAAAATTAGGTCGGATAGAAATGGCAGCTAACAGCTCTGCTGCAGGAAGTGCAAGAGACAAGGCTGCAAAACACATAATTCTTGATCAAAATCATTTTGATAAAGAAATTGATTATTCGCGTGTCAATTCACCAACACCCCAAGCTGGCTGCATTGGATGCTTTCCTTGTGACATTAACAAATCTGGTTCTGTAAATGAAATGCCTCCACTTCCTTCAGTGCCACCAAATACTGCACAAGTGAAACCATTTTTAGTGAATCCACCACCTAGTAACAAACGATCTTTACGAAATCAAAGAAATCAATCTCTGACCAGTAGACCAACAGTATCACCAGTTGTCAGTGTACATTTATCCAAGACAAGAGGGACAGTTTCTTTTGTGAATAGGGTCACTTCTCCAGATCATAGTTTATTAGAAAGAATTCAACAGCAAGTCTCAGGTGTCACAATTGAGGAATGCTATAATGCTTTTCATAGGAATAATGGTGATGTCCATTCAACAATCAGAGACTTACAAATTAACCAACTAACAAAGTTAGGAATTGCCTCAAGACAACTATGTGAGAAAGTCTTACAAACTTCAAACTGGAATCTTGAAACTGCTGCTTCTGCCTTACTAGATGAACTGTCAGGTACAGCTAGATAAACTGATAAATTTAATTCAAGGTCAGATATTTTTAATGTGTTTGATGTCATTTCATCAGATTTGTAATTATTACTTCTATTTATTATTTTTCACATCTCATAATTAGTTATTTAATATTCAGAAACTTGTATTTTGTTTAAAATAAGGTTAAATTATTTGTCACATACAAAACAAGAATGAAATTATGAATTAATTTATATCATTCAGTCATGTTAAATTCGACATATAAAACCTAAAAATGAAAGTTTAATTCATGATTTAAATTCAGTTTTTAAGATGTAGATTTTTAATATTTTTTGAGTAGCATCAAACATATTAAAAAAATTTATATTGTAATATGTAAAAACACTATCATTTAAATATTGCACAGTATTTGCCTATAATAGAGCACAATCGTTAAATAATATTTTATAATAGCTTTTTAATATCACAAAAAAAAAACTAATCCAAGATAAATGAATGTTATAAAAATCAATAGTTTTGCAAATACTTTTTATAAAAATTTATTTCAGTTTTATTGAAGGTTCTTTAATAAAGAAGAAATATTTTGAAATTCATCAATTTTCAAAAATTAAATTAGTGTGATAAAATGTAAAAGATAATTATCAAATGTTATTTATTTTTCTTCTGTTGTGTGTTTTGATCTTTAAATGTGAATTTATTGCCATAGATCTGAGCACAATTTCTAGTCATTACCTCAAAGTGTTTACTTAAGTTATTGAAAAAAACAACTGTTATTAGAATATCTTGATAAGAAACTAATTATGTTCTCATTGTTGTTTATTTATTTCTTACTTGCAGACATTGATCATATTTTTCTTACCAAAAAATAACTAAAAATAATGAAAAGGTAACTTTATAAAATGTTAATTACAAATTATATGAAGATGTTTTTACAGTAGTAATTGTGATATCTGGAAGTAATGTACAAAATGTATATGTATGTGTAAGATATTTAAATGTAAAATTGATTAAATGCCAGTTTTGTCTGCTGTTAAATTTTTTTCATAAATTTTTGTTTATTCATAAAATTATAAAAATACAATGTAAAATAGAACATTACTTGCTTGCTTGTTTGTGAAGAATAAAGGAAGTTATCAATATACATTTTAAAAAGGGGGAATCGATAAAACGGGCTTTCATCATGTTAAGGGAAACTTGAAATGATTTTTGAAACTGTTAACATTAAATTTGCTCCTGATATTCTTGCTAATGTCACTCATTTTGCGGCAGACATTTCTTAGTTTAATTGTTTATGCCATATTTAATTTAAAAATTGAATTTTCAAAAATTTGCGTTTCTGCAGCGTTTTATACATAAAAATTAAATTTCAATCTTGCGCTTATTTTCCTGCTGTTGTATTCAAACTTCATTTCAACTAGATATAAATTTAGAAAAGCACTAGATTCGAGCCTGGATCAGTTTATAAATTTCCATGTTGAATTTCCATTCCATGTTGAATTTGCAAAAACAGACCCTCAAACAAGGCTGGATCATTGCATAGACAAATGAGACCAATGTCTAGGGCCTGGCCAAATTGTCTATTTTGAAAATATTTGTAAATAAGGTAGTTTACTTTTCTGTTGGCAACTGTATATAATAAACAAAAATATATTGTTTTTTATATGGTTATTGTGAATTCTAAAATCTAAAGAAAATGTGTTTTTTATGTAGGAGGGGACCCTGTAAAAAGAAAATGTCTAGGGCCCCAAAGTGGGTTAATTCGGCCCTACCCTCAGAATCTAGAATGAGGCAAAGCTTCCATAGGTAGTAATTAAATTTATTTTAGTGTTCTCTAGTTACTCTTGGTAACAAGGCTAAGGAGTTGGAATTGGAGTCATCAAAAATCCGCCGACACCGACTCCTTTTTACTTTCCTAACTTGTTATGTATATAAAACGGAAAAGTATTGGAATCATGTCACAATTGACCCTCCATGTTTTTTGCAAATTACAAGTTTGTAAACCCCGAACCCAAAAATTTCAGAATAAGGAAAAATTTGTGTGAGTGTTGGCATCTGATTTCTTTAATTAATTTTCTTTATTCTCAGATCTGAAATATTAAACAATATCTGAAAATGGGAAAAGTTTAAGAAACAAAAATATGGCACTGTACGTCGTGTATAAAGGGACCATTGATCGACCATTCAACGTTCTAATATTTCAATAGCAATGCTACTGATTTCCATACAGATGCTGATCTGCTCCTCGATGTCTGGCCAAACTTGCATAAACCTACCTTTTAAGAAGTTCATATAAAAAGTAATCACAAATGCACAAGTTCGGTCAGCCGGAGTCGCCAAATGTTTTCATTTCTGGATATGAACTGAATGAGTTTAAACGTCGTCATGGTAGTCAGTGCACTATGTATATAATGGTATAGTCCAAAATTAAGGTTGAAACTAAGGTTGCAATATCAAATAGATAATCCAAGATTGTCTGATAATTTACCAATGTATTTGCCAACCTTAGTTTCTTTCATTGCAATATCTAGCCTAATTGTCTGGCCTTATTGCTAAATAAATTTACTTCGAATACAAAAAATATCAATCCAAACATACAGGATTATGACGATCCTGACCGAGTTTTCATTGCTGTTGAATGATGTAATAAAAGACAACTTGCATTACGTAATGTTTGGTTTTTGTATTAACAGGTCACATTGATAATGACTGGAAACTGCACTAACAAATTGAGGTAGAGCAAGATACACTTTTAACAAATTGTACAATTTGAAGTCTACTAGTCAAACCACAGAGATCAAAAGAAGAATTTCATAAAATTATTGTAATTTCTTTATCTTATTTCAGTAATTTTATTATGGTCTTTATAAAAGACCTAAATTAAACCATTTCGTAAGTCCTGTCATTTTTATTAAAACATGCTAGATTTCCCAGGACAATTTCAGTGTTTGCCGTGCAGAAACGAAGGAATCTTTTATTCTACCCAATATGAAAGATATCAAGATATAATGGGAGAAGAAAAATTTTTCAAGTACTGTATTTAAATAAATATAGTAATTTTGTGCCAATTACCCGCGGCAACATATATCCCGTGAAAATTGATACTGTAATATATCAAAAATATTGGATTGGACTGGAAAATATTGGATTGGACTGGATTGATGGAATAAAGCAAAGCAAGACACGGCGATTTGCCAAGAAGAACCTCTCGGAAAGACTTTCTATAGGAAACTTGTTAATTAGTTGTTAGACAATAGAAGAAAACCCGGAAAACATTACATGGCCGCCACATTGGTCAGGCGCAAACCCACGGCCAACCCAACTATCACACGATTCAGTGTTTAGTGATTTTATCCACTCGGCCACTGACGGACACGGACTAGAAAAAGAATGAAAATAAATATTTTGTGTAATCCTCACCGCCGAATATTTCGCATCTCCGAAACAGTTCTTAAAAACTTGGCACGGACGTATAATTTAGAAGATACCATCACAAGCATTCAATATTTTTATTAAACACTTTCGTTTAAGTTTAAATTTAATTTCAAAACGCCATGAGCTTGAAAGTTTGGCGTGTGTCGGGTCGTGAATTGCGGCTTAGCGACGCAACCGGTACATCCGACGCAGTACCGGCCCGAGGCAAGTTTTAGGATGGAGCGAGATCCTATTATGGCGCCCCCTTGGTTGCCCCCAATTTATACCCTTTAATCTTCTTTAACACTAAGGTACCCCCTAAAACTTAACTCCTGGAGCGGCTGCTCCGTTCGCCCTATGGTAGGGCCGGTTCTGATCCGACGGAAAGAAATGCTTCCGGATCGGAACGGTGGACGCGCGTTATTGATCAGATATAAAGATTATCTGGAGCAAGTGCTTGTGGTGTAGCGGTTATCACATCCGCCTAACACGCGGAAGGTCCCAGGTTCGATCCCTGGCAGGCACAAGATAATTTCTTTTACATCTTTGGGAAGTTTCACAAATTTTTTGCGTGAATCTCCGCTCGTCGTTCCGTAGACGGCCCTTTTAAATTTATCAGCAAATTCACCGAAACGCACCTCGCCTTCCTGCAAAACAGTTCTATACTTTCTTAAAGTCGCTCGAATTGGTAAGAATTGTGCGCCGGGAACCGAGCCGACGATTGCTCACTATGATGATACTTCTTACAAAGCGTTCGCACCACACTACTTTTATTATCCACTTTCAGCAAATCAACATATTCACTGCGTAGAATGCAAAATGAATGTAAAACTTTATTTTAAGCATGTAACATTGGCCAGGAATCTTCGATGTATGTTCGGCGAAATCTTCAGGGAGTAGAAGGTTACTTGCTTAGTTCGGATAGCAACGAGTGAAACACAAATTTATTTTTACTGAGTGAACCTGCGGTCGAGGCATCACTGCGTTTGTAGATTGTGCAACAGAAATAAGTCATTAGACAAATGTTCTCTTTGCTGTAAATTCGACAATTGCGAATTTAGTCCAACAAATTTCATGCTAGGAACTTCGCCCACTTGTTTCCAAAATTCGCAACTGTTAACATAAATTTCGTTTGATTCTCGGTGCGCTGTTTTTGCTATTTCCAAAGTCTAATCTGGCCTGTGCCGAAAGAGAAACGCACAAAATTCACGGACACTACGTGAAAGGTTAATTATGTGTTGGCTTATCGCGAACATCGTTCGGAATCGTTTCTCGTCCGCAAACGAGAATGTTTGTAATTGCTAACGTGTCTGCGTAAATTTCGTCCCCAGTGGCGCAATTGGTTAGCGCACGGTACTTATAAGCAGTACGTGTGAGTTATGCCGGGGTTGTGAGTTCGAGCCTCACCTGGGGAACGTGATAAAATGTTTTTTTAAATTGCCTTTTGCTGTCGGCCGATTAGTTGAGCCGGGCACCCAATATAAATTTTATTTTGAAATTTGTACTTTATTGGTTTAAAATCATCTGTGATTCATCAATATGATTAAACATGTCAGTTTTCAACAACTATTGCATATTAAAAATTGAAAAATATATTACAACATTAATTTAAAAAAAAAAACTTTATAATGAAACTTAAATACATTACAAAATTGATCATCTGACAACCCTGGAACTGAAATAATGTCAGAGTATGAAATAATTCGGATTACCAAGAGATTACGGATTATAGCCGAATAGCGAAAAAAGTATAAGCGAAAACCAAGCGCCCAGCTCAACTAATCGGCCGACAGAAAAAGGCAATTTAAAAAAACATTTTATCACGTTCCCCAGGTGAGGCTCGAACTCACAACCCCGGCATAACTCACAAGTACTGCTTATAAGTACCGTGCGCTAACCAATTGCGCCACTGGGGACGAAATTTACGCAGACACGTTAGCAATTACAAACATTCTCGTTTGCCGACGAGAAACGATTCCGAACGATGCTCGCGATAAGCCAACACATAATTAACCTTTCACAATAGTGTCCGTGAATTTTGTGCGTTTCTCTTTCGGCACAGGCCAGATTAGACTTTGGAAATAGCAAAAACAGCGCACC